CCTTTAATGAGCTACCTTGTTGTAACTCTAACTCGTTGGCGTTATTTACAGAGATTCTGCTAATGAGGTGCCTGTCAGAGGGGGAGCCCACCGTGGGAGTCGGGGGAGGATGGGCCAGCCAGCCTTGAGGGAATAGGCAATATTCAAAGGGAAGAGGGAAAGAAACACCCTTGCTGAGCACCTGCTGGACCAGAGGCCCTTTATCCCCATCATCTCAGCACACCGGCCCAGAGGCTCAGGAGATACGGATGAGGTGTAGGGTGCAGTAACCTAACCAAGGTCACACGGGAAGTCTGGGAGTCCAGCCCAGACTGGTCAGATAGCACAGTCCCTCCCACAGGTGCCCCCAGGACCACCAAAGGTGGTAGGGACAGTGTGTATGTGTGTGTGTGTGTGTGTGTGTGTAGGAAAGACCACCAACTGGGAAGGAGTCCACTTCACCTGGCATGGACATATGGAATCTACTCAAGGGTGGCCCCATCAGCTCTTCCATGCCAGAGTTCACAACCTCGCTTTCTGGGTTGACTCCTGGCATGCCAGGATTCTCCCAGCCATCCCTCACCCACTCCTCCCTCACTGTCCAGGGACCCTGAGCTCTGAGCCCTAACCCTAGCAAAAAAAAAAAAAAAAAAAAAAGAGGCTTCTCTGGCTCATCTACACTTTTAGAGACCATCTATCTTAGATCCAGCAGAATGGATTTGGCTGCTGCTTAACTGGTCTAGCCTGGGCTGGGTGCACATCTCAGCCTGGGGAGGTGGGCAGGGTTCAGTTGGGGGGCCAGGAGGGGCTCAGTCTGAGTTAGAGGTGGGGCAGGGGTGGGGCTCAGCCTGGGGCAGAGCTCAACTTGGGGTTAGAGGGGAGAATCAGTTTGTAGCACTATCAGTTTGTGACCAAAATAAGGGAAGTGACCATTGGTCTTACTTTTTTCACCTGCAAAATGGGATTAATAAACTTGCCTTTCTAGAATGTTGTGGGATCCTAAGAAGCAGAGATTGTGAAAGTGCCTTGCAAGCCATATGGCACTCCTCCTGGGTCTTGCTGTGATCAATATGAGCAGAGTGGCAGTCTGGTTGCTGACACTGCAACCAAGCTGAAACCAAGCTTGCCACCCTGGTAGAGACACTTCCCTAGCTTATCCCGTCCAGCTCGGCTCTGAGCTCCCCTCTCCCCTTCTCCATTCTCATTGTCACATCCTCTCTCCTCTCCTACTACCTGTCAAGATTGGCATCTCTTTAATTATAATGTCTGTGTGTTTCTTTAGGAGCCATGTAATTCCCCCTGACAGCCACCTATTTAAAATGAAAGTCAAACACTCAGAACTTTGTTTAAGAGTTGAGTCTTGGGGAAAAAATGCATTAATTGCCAAATGTTGCTAATTTCACTCTGATTTGGTGCAAAAAGAATACACACACACACACACACACACACTAGTACTGATGAAACTAACATGAGTGCAAGGATAGCATCTGGATGTCAAAGCCCGAAGCTCATACCAACTCCTCTGTCATTTCTCAGATGAAGAAACCAGGACCCAGAGAGGTTAAGTGACTTGCTGAAGGTAACCCAGGCATAAGCAATGGAACCAATGCTGAGCTGATGCCTGCAGGCTCCATGTGGCCTTCAGGTAGCAGCTGGTTGACCGGGAAACAAAAGACAGAAGCCCTGCATTCCTTGCACATATCAGCATGTCAGGCCATCTGGGCCGCTGCCCTGCCGCCCTGCAGGGCTGCTGTGTTTGCAAGTGTTGCCTGCCAGGAGGCCTTGTCTGGGACAAGGGGCCTGGGGAGACCCTCTTCTGAGGCTGGGGATCTGTCCCCTGGTAATCAGAACATAGGCACAGCCTCCCTGAGCAACCATCTGTGGAGGCTCAGCTGTGAGGCACAGGCACCAAGGGCCTTTGCCAGCAATCAAAACTTGTCCCAGGACGGAGCTGGGAAGAGGGCCTGAAGCAGGCAAGGCAGCTTGCAGAAGGCTCCAACCCTGGCTGGATGTGCCCTCACAGCCTCTCGGTGGGGAAGGGCAACTTGGTGGAGAGCCACAAGGAAATGTTTGGGTACTACCCTGCAGTGGTCGGAGCATCACTTCTGAACTCAGCCAGTTCTCAGGTCAGATCCCTGCTAGACCTCTTCCTTGCTGGGCAGGCTTGAGAAGCTGTGGAACCTCTCTGCATTAGTGATTCTGCATCTGGCCAACATGATCAATACTATGGATTACTCAGAGTTGGTTGAGGGGGCGTCTAATGAGTGAATATGTGCTGTGTACCAGCCCAGGGCACACACACTCTACACACTGCTCCCACCTCTTCCCCAAAAAGGAAGCAGAGGGTTAGGCCAGAAAGAGCAAAACAGGGGCCCAAGAGCCTTGTTTGGCCACAGTCTTGTTGGTGGGCTTGCATGTGCTGTTATAAAAATGTAATTTAAAGGCCTCTTGCACAAGACCTGAGCTCCCAGAGTGTCCTGATACCCACTAGTCCCTGGAGACTCACAGCTGGCCACTTCATTCATGCCTATCTCTTACTCTGCAACTCCTAGAGAAATCCTTTGCATAGCTCCGAAAGATGAAAGTCTGTGTTCACCCCAGCCCTCTCCAAACCCAGCCAAAACTCCATGTGCCTTCTGTGCCCCAGCTCTGACAACATAGTGTTTAAAATCCAGTCCATGTCCAGCTTTCCACTGAACTAGGAGCACCTAGAGGCCGGGGGCCACATGCTACCCCTACATGAAAAGAGGTAGGCTCTTGGTAAATACATTTACTCGTTCAACAAAGAGGTGTTGCAGCTAGGCTCTGAAGACACAGCTGTGAACAGTTTTGACAAGGGCCAAGTCTTCCCAGAGCTTAAGGACAATTTACACTTCAATAAACAAGATGGCTTAAGAAGGAGAAGATAAAACAGGGTGATGTACTGGGCTAGAGTCGGTGAATGAATGAATGGGCAAATAGCAAGAATGCAATTTTCAGTCCAACAACACAACAGGAAAATGTTATTGCCTCTAACAGGTAGGAAGATGAACCGGTGAAGAAGATACTAGTATTGGTCCCATGGTCCCAGTGAGGAATCAAAAGTACGGGGTCATACCTAGGGTCTAATCAGCCCTCTGAGTAGAAGGGCAGGGGACATACCAACTCCTCAGATAAAGAAAAATTATCTCAAAGCAGCCACCTTTTAAAAGTGTCTACTGCCAAGCTTCTGCCAAACACTTTACCTGAAGATCCTCTAGACAACTGTGTGATCATCTTTATAGATAAGGCCATCAAGGCTCAGGGACTTGCTCAAGATCACCCAGCTGGAAAGTGGCAGGTCTGGCTGGCTCCAAGCACTGTGTCCTTTCTGGAATAGTGGGTGCCCCCAGCCACAGAGCTGCACCACCCAACTGCTCAACCTTCCAAAGAGAGCTGCCCTGAGAACCCAGTCAACCCACAACCAGCAGCTGCTGTGCCTGCAAAGCCTGCCAAGTAGCCAGGCTGAGGCCACACTCTACTAGCCAGAAGCCCAGTGTGTCAGCAGCAGTACCAGGGCCTGGGCATTCCTGCTCAGCTTGGGGCTCCTCTGTGGACAGTGTATCAGGGAGTCCCACGGGCGGGAGAGATTTTCTCAGAGCTGTGCTGCAGGCTAATGCTCTTCTTACCCAATCTGACTGCCTTTCTTCTCCCTTTTTAGAAAGCTCAAACCCACAGTATGGTCCCAGGCAATCCCCACCCACTCCCGCTCTTTCTCCTCTGGATTTCTTGCAGTTGATTCCTGCAATAAATCCCTTGCACTTCTTGCTCCATCATCTTAGCATCTGCTTTTCAGTGTTCCTAACTGGCACAACACATCATCCAAACCACAAGGAAGACTTCTCAGGTATGGAATCATGCAGGACATGGCGTATGAGGGTGGTTCCTCTGTGCTCCTAAGGTTCCAGTGGTGGAGAAACCTCTGACAGCTAGAGCCTGGAGCCCTCTGACCATATGCACAGCAGCCTGGCTCAGGGGAGCAGATCCAGGCTGAGAGTCAGACAGGGCTGGGTGTCCCTGCAGCAGCTCCTTTGGCTCTCTGGGCCTCAGTCTTCCTCATTTATAAAATAGGCGTGCTGACAGTTTCCCCATAGTACTGTCTTAAGAACTAGAAAAAGCACCTGCTTTGAAGGTCAGGTAACCAGGAGTGTGGGATTTTAGATCCATGTCACTAGAGTCTAGATGATCAGAGTAGGAAAATGTCATACAGCCCTACATTATTATTATTTGTGTAGGGAAATGGGAACATGGAAGGGAAGATGTTAGGCAGGGAGGGACAGCAGGCCACAGCAGAGACAGGCCAGGTCCCGTTGCCCAGCCCGGAGCCTGGGAATGCCTTCCATTCCCATTCAGTGCAGCTTTGCCCACAACCACAGGGAGCCCAGGCCAGGCTCCCAGCCTCCCCCCTTTCCCCGGGCAACCCAAGGGGCATAGTGGGGCCAGAGGGAGAACCCAGTAAGACTTGGCATTAACATGAAGACTATCTGTGGGCAGCCAGAGGCGCACAGCCTGCAACAGAGGCCAAAAGGCAGGCGAAGGTGGAGGAGGCGGGGTGCTTGTCCTCCGCTGGTCCCATCACTGCTAATGTGGTCTCAGGGCCTCCTCTCTGGAAGAGCAAACTGAACTCCGGAGAAAACAATCGGAGCAGGAAAAACAGAGATGCCAGGTACCCAAGGGGAGCACAGAGACAGGGCCAGCCCCTATTGGAGTTAGAGACACAGACAGAAGACAGAGAGGCCCAGGGATGGAGAGGGGAAGTGCAAAACAGACGGCGGGGGAGGGATGCGGAGGAGACGCAGAGGTGTGCGCTGGAGGAGAGGACTACCCACGGCGCTGGCGGGCGGGATGGGCTGGGGCGGTCTGCGGCCGGGGCTGCACCGCGGGGTCTCAGCCTCGCGCGGGCTCGGCGCCGCACCCGCAGCCTTTGTCCTGGGCTGCAGCGGATTCCCGCGGGCCGCCAGCGCCCCCTGCCGCCCCCAGAGCGCCGCGCCGCAGCCGAGCGGCCCCTCGCTGTGCAGAGGGGACTGAGACCGAGAGGTGACCGAGACCGAGAGAGGACTGAGACCGAGAGGGAACCGCGAGGGCGGGAGGGAAGCTCCGCGAGCCGGCACCAGCGCCACGGCCCAAATCCCAGCCTCTACAGGTGCTCACCGCGCGACTGCCTGTCCCAGGCGCCCTGGCTGCGCGCCCTCTCTAGGGCCTGGGAGCAGCCTGAGTCCTGGGGGCGGCCCGGCATGGGCCTCCCACCCCAGGAGACGCCCTTCTCGCCTGGCCCTCCAAGTCGCCTGGGCGGGACTCGGATGCCCGGGGGCCACAAACCTCTCCCCCGTGAATTCAGCAGGGAGGCCGGGGAGGCACGCTGCTCCCCCGCTCAGCCTTGCCCAGTATCCAGACCTTTCGAAAGAAGCCAGAAAATTCATATTTGCTTGGGAACCGCCCACAATTCAATAGCTTTTCAAAACAGTGCGGGAAGAAAAATGGGTTTGGCCCACCAGCAGCCAGCGGGCACCCTCCCAGCCTCTTCATGGACTCTCCTTCAGATTTTGGGCGCCCGGCCCCATTAGAGCCATCTGTGGGCATTTCCTTCAGATCTTCCTCCACTTAAACATGCTTATTGAAAAAGAAGACTCCTTTTCTCTTTCCCTATCGTAATTAGAAACCCAGCGTCCTGTGGCGTAAAAGCCAGGTAGCCTCGGAAGTGAAATAGGGCGATTAGAACAGACACAGGGCCTGTTCCGCCCGACCCTGCTGCATCTGGTGGACAAGCCTCCAGGGCTACTGATGACCCATGCCCTCCGACCTCACGGGAGGGGCGGGCCGAAGACAGGCCTTTCTAGAAGGGCCCTGGAAGCGGCTTCAGGGAGTCTGGGAACCAAAGCAGCTACCCTGTCCGTGGCACTGTCCAGCCCTGGGCACCACGGCCCCGCCGGGAGTGGAAGCTGCCAGGTGAGGCAGGGGTGGCTCCTCCCCCGGGGAACAATGTGCGGAAGGCATCAATGCCTGCAAAGAGGAAGTGGGGAGACAGAGCACAGAGTAGTGACTTGGACCCCAGGGCAAGCCAGAAGCTGCCCGGAGGTTCCCACAGTGTGGCTTCCTGCACGATTCAGTTGTGGAGACTGAAGCCGGAGGGCCTGAGGGGAGCCGCAGGAAGCAGGGGGGCGGGGGCCGTCTGCCCCTGGACACTCAGGACAGCCTGGCTCACCGCGGGGGAGGAGAAGCCAATGGAGGCAGCGGGGATCAAGAGGGAGGGGGTTGATGGGGAGCTTGGGGAGGAGCAGAGAGACCCAGGTCCCCTGCCTCACAGACCGACCAGCACAGGTTGCAGGTCCCCAGCCAGCTACAGGCTTCTTAACACACAGCACTCCCTGCTTCCAGCCTTCGGAGAGGCCCCCACTCCAGGATCAAGACCCAGCCCAGTCACGGCCTGGCTCACGAGGCCCCACCTCAACTGCCCCTGACCTCTCTGCGCCCGCTGCTCCCGCCAGCCCTGCCGGCCGCTGCCCTGGAGAAGGAGCTCCAGACGGATCCCCAGTGAGTAGGAGGCAGCCGTGTGAGTCAGGCGGCTGAGGGAACGGGCTGCACCGCGGAGAGGAGGTGCGAAGCAGCGCGCCGTTTCCGGGCTCTGGGAAGCCGAGCTGCCGAGGCGTAAGCTGGGAGGTGGACGTGACGGGGGGAGTGGGGAAAGGCAGGCGGCGGGACGGCCACACAGCGGAATATTATGCAACCTATAAAAAATTTAATTAACTCCCTACCAATAGACTTAAAGGGATTTCTATAAGGTATTGTTGGGTGAGAAAAGCAATTTGAAGATAAGAATGTAACATACGATCCCATTTTTATAAAACAATGGGCAAAATACTCTGTGAGTTTGTGTGTATATATGTATATGTATATAGACCTGTATAGGATGTTATTAACACAAAGGAAAATTCAGGATACATGCTAGGTTGTTAATAGGGGTTTTCTTCACGGAAACCTATTGTGGGAGAAAGGGAACCAAGAAAAAAAGGATCTGAGAAATAAAGACTGCCCTTAAAAGATGAATGACTGCAGCTAACTGTGTCCCCAACACCCACCCCTACCAAAGCTAGACATGGGGGAGTGGTCTCGGCCATCACCTTCTCCCCATCCCAGCATCTGCTCCTCTCATGTGGCAGCCAGCCACTAGCCACCCCCCAACACACACACGCCTGTGCGCAAACACACACACCCAGCCCAGTCTCCACATAGCCAACCCTCTGAGGGTTCCAGTTGCCCTGAGAGTGAGATCCACTTCAACACAGACTTCAAGTTCCTTCCCCCAGCCCCACTGACCTCTGCAGGCTCAGTCCTCACTGCTCCCCCAAACCCCACCCCACCAACTCCCTGCACTGCCAAGTAGCCCAGGGTCCAGCCACTGTGTTCTCAACTCTGAGCCTCTGCACCTGTCAGAACAAGCTTGCATTGATATTGGCTATATTCCAGTCTCTGTTCTGAGCACTTGACATTTATTGAAAGCATTTAATCCTCACAACAACCCTATAAACGTGTATAATATTCTGCATAGTATTCTTGTAGATGGGAAAATGAAAACACAGAAAGGTAAGTCATTTGCCTAAGGTTGCACAGCTGGTTAGTTAACAGGGAAAGTGGCTCCAGAGCCTGCACTCTTGACCACTGTGCTAAACCCTCATTTGTGCCTTTAGACATACTGTTCCCTCTGTCTGGAACTCTCTTTAGTTTCTCTCTTCTCTTGGCTAAATCCTAATCCCCACTAGATATCAACTGAGATATCACCTCCTCCAGGAAGCCTTCTCTGACCCCCCATATCTGGGTTGGGTGTTCTTCTGAGGTTCCCTACACAGTGCAGTCATTCCTTGATCACAACATTTCTTCCATACTGTGGTGGTTGGACGTCCACACTAGGCTGTGCTCCTGGAAGGCACGGGCTTTATTTCACTCTTTGGAAGAAGGGTCCCAAGTCCCTGGAACAATGATGCCCTGTGTTAGTAGCTCAGCCTACATCTACTGAATAAAAGGTGGATATCAGTACATCAGATAGGCTGGGAACCATCTCTCCAAGTACACAGGATGGGCCAGGAAAGTCGGTCGGGCCTCTTTCAGGACCACGGAGAGCTCTTTGGCTGCCAGCCACCTCTGCTGTAGGGGTCTCCAGGTTTGTTTCTTTGTTCTCTGAGAGACTCGATTCTGGCCTGGACAAGACTCCCCAGACTTTGAATGTTAGCTGGCTTGACTGAGCGGCAACAATAGGGCAGGGGGCAGCAGGAGTCTCAGGACTGGCTAATCCGCCGCTTGGGCGGAGCAGCAACCCCAGGGTCCCACAGTCAGTCACACCCCATCTCCTATATACTTTTTAACCAACACAAAGTTTTAAAAAGTAGTTAGAGAGCCTGTTGGAACCAGCACCAAATCTATGTGTTTTCTCGAATTATCGAACTAGAAAGAAATGAAAACATCAAAATACTCTCTTTGTACCAGGCTCGAATTGAGCTGCTGCCTCATTCAGTCCATGTCTCGGTCCGACTACAATGATGAAGCAATGGAAGGGAGAGTGGATTGAAAGGGAGCGAGGCTCAGCGGGGAGCCTCAGATTGCCATTCGAAGACCACGGGGAGCCCAGAATGGGTCCCTGCTTGGGAGGAGAGAAGAGAAACAAGATTGACAGGTGAAGAGATGGGGGAGGGCAAGAGGGGGCCAGGGCTGGAGCAGGCAGAGACACAAAGAGGTACTCTCCTCCTCCAATCAGTTCTGCCCAGAACACAGGCAGGACCCTGCCTGGTGCCAGCCTGAACCTCCAGAGATGGGTCCCTACCCACTGCAGCTGGCCAAATGGGGAGGGCCTGCAGAGGGGCAGAGAAGTCAGAGCCATCAGTGCCCCCACAGAAGAAGGTGCAGGCCACTGAGGAAGCACAGGAGTGCAGCAGGCAGAAAGAACAGCGTGTGCAGGCAGGAGGTGTATGCATGATGGCAGGGTTTCGAGGACAGCCCAGTAAGAAACAAAGCCAGAAAAAATGCTAAGGTCCCTGAATGTCACTGACAGCAATGTGGGAAGACCTTGCCTTGGGGGAGAACCTGATCTTAGATGGATTTTTGTCCCTCCTTGTTCAGAAATGTATCTTGGGGACCAAATCCTGTGGCTAGAGTTACACATCTGTGCAACAGGCTGCCACAAGGCTGAGCAGCCATCACCAGATGTTGCTCACACCCATTTAGGGAGTGGACTGTGGCCAAAAGAGCAAAGAGAAACGAAGTTTCTGGAGTTCGCTCCACAGCCAGGCTCTGCCAGCCCTGACCCTATGGAACTGACAGCAGCCCCCTCCTCCATGCCTGGTGATGTGGGGCGTGGGGTGCCCCAGCTGGTCTCAGCGGGAACCTGCAGAAGATGCTTCAAGGAGGAGAGGGAGTGTGAGAAAGGCTGATGAGTCGAATCTCAAGGCAGTGGAGGGAGATGCCTGGTAATTTTTGTTTTTTGCACAGCATTGTTTGGGCATTTTTTCTGTGTGCACGTTACACACATTCACAGCCTGAATTCTCTCAATAGCCATCAGAGATGGACACAGCTATTCACCCCAGAGCTCAGAGAGGCAAAGCAACTTGCCCATGGCCATCCAGTGATGGAGATGGGACTCTGACTTGGGTGGCCAGTTCTGGCACATGGGAACAGAGTACATCTGTGTGTTCTCCACCCAAATTCCCAACTCCCCTTTGTTTCTCTCCTTCTCCTCTAGCTCTTGGCCTTTGACCTTCACCAATACTATCCAGTTTGGCACTTTAGTGGGTTGCCACCATTGTGAATTGGACCTTGCCTACGTTCTCAGTAGGCTGGATTCCAGACATTTGAGGTCTCAGCCATAGACTCTGCTGGGAACATGGAGGCCAGGGAGATTCTGTCCCACTGGGTCCCTCTGAATGAGCCAGGCACCCCTTGGAGGAAGTGACAGGCCAGCCCCAGGCATGCACTTCACTGGTATGTTTAGCCCCAATCCTCCTCTTGCCCCATTTACCACCTTTCTCTGGGTGCCACCCTCAGGTCACCCCCATCCCTGACTGATGACTATTCAAGACCGCTTTCTCTGCCTCTAGTGGAGCATGTTAGAACCCAGCCTGTGACTCCACCCCATCATCTTAAAAGCAAACTCTTTCTAGCACCTGTGCCAGATGCTGGAGCAAGCCCTGAGTTTAGTTCATGTAATCCTGACAACCACCCCATAGGTCAGATGGGGAAACTGAGGCAGGAAGCAGGCACATAGCCTGTGAGTGACTGGACCCAGGCACTAACCTCCAGCCCCACACTCTTAGCACCCTGCTGTCTCTTGGTGACATGTGAGTATGTCAATCTGAACATGCTTGAAATGAATGTTTGTCAATAATTATATCACTTACCAGGTACTTGCAAGTTCATTCATTCTCACTAATTCTTTATTAAACAAACATTTGCCGGGACCTGCTCTATACTAGGCCCCGTGCTGGGGACTATGAGTGCAGCGATGGCTCAAACACAGCCCCTGCCCTCACGATCCACAGTCAAGATAGAAGGAAATGAAGAAGTAGACACCTGCCACACTATGAGGTCAGCACCGTAGCAGGCTATGGGAGCCCAGAGGAAACAGCCATCCCACCTGGAGCTCCCCTCTCATGCATGAAGCCTGTTCTCGGGCAGGTGGGAGGGAAGATGCGAGGCATGGCCCTGTGCAGGAGGACTGAGTGCTCTGGGCCTGGCCTCCGCTGCTGCGGCACGGCAGGCTCACACAATGAAAGCTAATTCTTTGGTTGTAATGACTGGAAGAATTGCTGGCTTTTGACTCCTGGCATAATTACTGTGAGACCTCCGTAGAGTAATTCACCAGATAATTACATGGTAGCAGGTGGGGGGTGGGATTCTTCTCTGGAAGGTAAAGAGGTAGCATTTAATTTCAAGGGGGATGCCTAATCTTATAATTACTCAGTAAAGTCCTATATTCTCACCAACCTGATTCCCTGGGGCCAGCCTGACCTACAGAATCAAATCAAGCAGGGGCCATTCCCCAAAATGGAAATTAAGAGTGGGGGCCTAGGGGATGATGGGGCTTCCCCAGAGTGTCCTCACAGGTGAATTATCCATGAGGCCTTGGAATACAGCAGGAGGAAGAGGCAGGGCAAGATGCAGAGCCTTATTTTCTGTGCTGGAGGTGGAACTGATCAGAGGGAGAAAACTCATCCCCAGGCAAGACTGTAGCTCAAAGTGTGGCAGTCCAAGCTGGCCGCCCACCTCAGGGCCACTTAACCTCTTTGAGATGCAGCTCTCATCTCAGTCAAAGGGGGCTAAGCCTTACTGCCTGTTATCTATTATCACCAATAGTGCCGCCTAACAAACTACCCCAAAACACAGAGGATTTGCAAACCAGCTAGCGACGTACTCCTCATGCTTCTTGGGTCCGCTGGCAGCTCAGTCCTAGCTGCGCCTCATTCACATGGCAGGTGGTGTTGGGGCCATGTGCCTCTCGTCCTCCTGCAGGCTAGCCCAGGCTACCTCCCATGGCAGCTGGGAAGTCCCAAGAGCAAGCACCGATGTGGACAAGGCCTCTTGAGGCCCAGTCTAGAAAGCAGGACAGTGTCACTTGGTCACATTCTACTGCCCAAAGCAGGTCACGGAACAGCCCAGAGACAAGGTGAAGCAACGGATTCTCCCCCACTTTGTGGGAGGCTCTTCATCATGTAGCAAAGGTGTGACGGCATAGGGAGGAATGAGGAACTGGATCTATTTCTGTAATCAATCTACTATGACCTGCCCAGGGGGTTATTGCAATGTGTAAGAGATGCACACAGTAAGTGTTCAGTAAAGTGGAACTCTGCTGGTTATTGAGAATGAGAATAGTAAAAGGAAGCTGGCAGCAGAGATAGGCATGGACTCCTGCTGCCGAATGTGTAGGCCACTGGCCTTCCCTCTTCGGAGACAGTGGTGCAGTGCAGATGCTCAGCACAGGCCTTGGGGGGCTGAGGCGGGAACGCAGTCCAGAAGTGAGTTCCTGCACTACCTGCCTCTGTCTTCAGCTCACTTCCCCTCT